ATGCTGGAACGGGCCTTTCCTCCCCTTCCCATCTCTGTCCCTAAATTCCAAAGGTCAGAATGTTGGAAATAGATCTTTATTTGCTTTTTGAGAGGGCTGGGTGAGAGATGAAATAAAGGAGGGGATGGCAAACATTTACCATCCTACGATTTTGTGGGTGCTGGGATTTCGGGAGGAAAAAAAAACTCAGGGAATATCAACACTGGACTCAATCAAAGGCACAGTAATTGTATTTAAACCCCTAAATAAGCCGTTTACTTAATATTACCACAGAGATTTTGCGTTTTCTGCTGTGGAGCAGGGAGCTCTGTGGTCCTCTGCCGCCGTTTCATCACAGATTTCGTTAGGAGAACTCCTGCTTTTCCACCTTTCGGAGGAGTCACGCTGCGCGTTCGAGCGTAAACAAAAGCAAGAACCAACAAAAGCAAGATCCAAAAGTGCTTGATCTTTTGCTGGCAGCACTTCCCACACGGCGCTTGTGAGGGCTCTGTGTGGGCACAGCTCGGGCAGGGGCCGCTTTGTGCCGTCAGCTGTAGATACCCAGCCCTCAGAGCCATGTTGTTCCTTCCCAAGGATTCCGAGAGGAGCAGGGACCGTTTGGTTTGCCCTCCGCGCGTTCCGTGACCCGCTCGCGAGCTCGTCGCCCGCTCCATGTGCAAAGAGAAACCTCGACAATAATTTAATATAAGGAGTAAATTAATGTAAAAACTAAAAATAATGCGAGAACCTTCATTGCCCTATTGCCCTTTTGTCTTATTTTTTTTCGTTCTGTTGTCTTGTTTTGCGACTGTTTTCTCCTCACAAGCCAGGCTTGGAAATTCTCTCAGTGGCGATGCTGCTGGAAGTGGCTCCTTTTGGAGGAGGTAATTTTCAAAAGGGAAGAACCCGCTCAGCAGCAGCTTTTTGGTGTGGTGATGGAGGGGGCAACTGCCTGGCTGCTGCTTCAGGTGTGTCACAGCTTTGAGCTGACCTTCTCTCTGGGTCTCCTCAGCTGCGCTCACGTTTCTCCCTGCAGAATGTCTCAGATGTGGCCTTCCCTGTCCATCTGCTCAGCTAAATCCATCACTGCTCAGCCTGCCAGTGACTGCAGTGTTTATTTTGCAGTTATTTTCTCCCCTCTGGCCATGAGAAGTGAAATCTTGCCGTGAGTGTATCAGGTGAAAGCAGCGCTGAGGTTCTTCCTAGCCCAGATTCACATCATCTGCTTTGATCCTGTCACTGGTGTCCCCATTAGTGTTGTCCCTCTCGAGTCACACATCTTCACTTTGAAGCCCAGTAGGTCCCATTTCAGCTTCCCAATTCCCTATTTACTTTCTCCCTGCAGGATTTGTGATGCCACCTTCTATCCCTCCCTCATCCTTTTTGCCAACAGCCCAGAGAAGCTGTGGCTGCCCCACCCCTGGGAGTGTCCAAGGCCAGGTTGGATGGGGCTTGGAGCAGCCTGGGATAGTGGGAGGTGTCCCTGCCCATGGCAAGAGGTGGAACTGGATGGGCTTGAAGGTCCCTTCCAACCCAATCATTCTGTGATTCCGTGTGGTTAATTCCCCAAAGGTATGCACATCCTTAAACCCTTTCCTTAGGCTTTCACCCATTCACTTCTTTCTCAGAAGGAATTTCCTACTAGATGTAGACAATGTCAGTTGATTAAATTCCCAGAAATCCCTCTGAAAATCCCCTGGGCTGCTCATAAAGCACTTGTAAACAATTCCACTTCATGGGCTGCCTGCCGTGAGGGTGCGGATTTGCCTCAGTTTCCTTGTGTTTCCATCAATTTTTCTTCCTTATCTTTGTGTGCATTATAAGAACGTCGAGAAAAGAAACATCTTCTTTTATTTTGACCTTTTATTTTGCATTCTGCCAGCACTGCTGGGATCTCCTCTCCTACATCAGTAGGACTAAATAAACCAGGTCAGGCCATCATCACCAACATCCTCCCGTGCTGGGGCTAATTGGTAGCACGTTCATTTGTAGGGTTTTGTTTCAGAGCTAAGACTTCCCTGGGCACGGCCACGTGCTGGGGACCGTCCTCAAATTGTGGTTTGGGTGTGCTGAGCTGTTTGTTTGGAGGGGAGGGCAAGACCTGGCCCCGAAGCGCTGCGGGTCGTGCCGTTGTTCCGCACCGCTTGGCCCCGGACCCACAGGATCCGCATGCTCTCTTTTATTTGGCGCTGCAGAGGTAGCCTGAGATGCCAGGGGTTGCACAAATAAAATCAGATGGCTTTGATAGGTGTCAGCATTTTAATGAGGAGTTAAATTAAGCCATGGGTGCTCTGCCCATCTAATGGCGCTATTTTTCCCTTGCACGCTGCTTTTTTCGTCGTCGTTTCCCTCACCCCCCTCCCCGCCATATTTTACGACAATTGCCTCGAGTCCTGATCTGGTGGGATTGTGCCAGATACCTGCACAGCTGGAAACTCATCAGCCATTCAGATTCCTTCAGTCAGGATGTCAGTTTTATCACAAAACTCGCAAAGCTCACCGTGGTGATTTCCAATTTCCTCTTTAGTAGACATTTTGTTTGAATGCCATGAAGGGGCTCCTTCCCCGGAGCCCCCAGGAGCACAATAAGCTATGCTCTTTGAGAGAGCCCAGATGACTACAAAGTTCCCTTCATTAAATTTTCTTTTCATGCTTTAGCATAGAATATTTCTTTTTAAGGCTCTCTGCCTCTCTCTGGTTTTCTTTTGTGTTTTCATCTTATTACCTTTATGAGGTTGTGATGCATCAGCTCGATGGGGAAGGGGGGGGGGTGTGGGGCTCCCTCAGAGGAGGTTTGTTCCACCACACAGGAATATTTGAGGTGCTTGAGGAGCAGCTGGAGAAGGGAAAGCAGATCAAGTAATTGTAAACTTAATAAAAACACGCCGCTCCTGACGTGCCATGTGGCTCAGGCTGCTGCTCATATTGACTTTCGCTTTCAGATTTCGGGTGTGTGTTGATTCTGTGAAGGAGTTATTGAGTTGCACTGAGTGGAGATGGAAATCTGTCAGCCCTCCCTGCTGCACTCCTACACTTTGTCTTCTTCCTTCGGTTTAGTTGTGAAATCCCCAAGCAATTAAACAAATAAATGCAGTCGTGGGGCAGAATCTGATTTATCGACAGCGACTTTTTACCTGTGCAGATAGTGGTTGGATGAGGGGAAATGGCTTTAAACTGAGAGAGGGGAGATTTAGATTAGATAAAAGAGAGAAATTCGTGGCTGTGAGGGTGGGCAGGCCCTGGCACAGGTTTCCCAGAGAAGCTGTGGCTGCCCCTGGATCCCTGGAAGTGTCCAAGGCCAGGTTGGAGCACCCTGGGCCAGTGGAAGGTGTCCCTGCTCATGGCAGGGGTGGAACTGGATGATCCTTCATGTCTCTTGCAACCCAAACCATTCCATGATTCTGTGATGACACTTTCTCTGCCCCATGTCCCAAAATACAGATCTCCCTCTCTCAGGACATGGGATAGTTCAGGGAAGGCAATTCCTGCTCCAAGCAGGGTCAGCTCTGGCACCAGACCCAGCTTGTTTATCAGGTATTGAACCCCCCCCCCAGACATTTTACAATGGATTCCACACACAATTTTTGGGTTTGCACTGTTTGCCTTTTCTGACAGGCTATTTCTTCAGTCAAACCCCACACACTCTCAAATGCTTCTATAAAATGACCCTTATTCATAGAGCCACACAATGGTTTGGGTTGGAAGGGACCTTAAATGCCATCTCATTTCACCCCCTGCCACGGGCAGGGACACCTTCCACTATCCACAATTTCATCCCAATATCCAATCCAAGGATTAATTGATGTAGGAACTTCAGGAAGTTCCTGTTAGGCAGATGTTTCGTTCCCCCATTGAAATTGCTCTAAATACATTGACAGAACTTCTGCAGCAAATGGCACAGCAGCTCGTTCCCTTCTCTCCTCACCTTTATGTAAGAAGTCACTTTAAAATCACTCGTGAATAAAAAGGCACAGCAAGGTTTACTCTGGGTATTTTTTTTTTTTGTTAACTCGTGGTTTATTGTATTGGTTTATCAATTCAGGCTCATTAAAATGAGCTCTGGTTTAGTCGGGTCTTAAAAATCATCACCACCGGGAGCCTGCAGAGAGTCTACGTGGTGCTTCCTCTCGTCCTCCATCCCAGCACACGCCTTGCCATCGTCACCACTGTGCTTGCAGCAGTTTGTGGCTGCACCTCCTGATGCCTCCCGTGCTTTTTGAAGTGCGTGCTGGTATCAGCAGAGGAGGGATTAAGGGAAAATCCTCCTCCCGTCAAGAGTCGACAGAAGTTCTGAACTCGGAGATCGTGCGGCGTGGAAGCACCTGGGACCGCATTTAAATTCCGGTTTAGGCCTTTCACAGATGCAGGGTAATGAATGAAAAGAGAAAGGGGCATGTTTGATGTAGGTACACAGTGTAAAATCAAGGTGACTTAACGTTGCCTTTTTTTTTTTTCTTTTTTTTTCTTTTTTTTTTTGTAGCGGAACATCTCGAGTGGTTGTCGAGAAGTCACTTCCCCCCAAGGAGCAGCATTTGTGCTCCATGTTTCATTTCCTTATAGTGGTAAAATAGATCTGCCTTGGCCAATCAGCAAAATCAGGCTCAGAGTCACAGAATGGTTTGGGTTGGAGGGGATTTTAAAGCCCGTCCAGTTCCAAACCCCGTGCCATGGGCAGGCACACCCTCCATTATTCCAGGGTAATCCAAACCCTGTCCAACCTGACCTTGAGCACTTCCTAAGAAAGAAATTCTTCCCTGTGAGGGTGGGGAGGTCCTGGCCCAGGTTGCCCAGAGAAGCTGTGGCTGCCCCTGGATCCCTGGAAGTGTCCAAGGCCAGGTTGGACAAGGCTTGGAGCAACCTGGGATAGTGTTGGGGTTGGAAGTGGATGATCTTTAATGTCCCTTCCAACCCAAACCTGTCTGTGACTCCATAATAATAATAACAATTTCAGTAAAAAGAGCTGTGCCTTTGCTGAAATCTTTTTAAGCAGAAAGCCATGAAGTTCTTTCCTCTTTCTCCAGGAGATACGAGTCCCACCCCATCTGTGCTGACCTGCAGGATAAAATCCTCCAGTGCTACCGACAGCACGCTCAGGAGACCCTGAGCTGCTCTGCCCTGGCCAGCCAGTACCTGCGCTGTGTCAACCACGCCAAACAGGTGAGTTGGACCCTGGAAAAACATGGAATGGTGGAGACAAGGTTTTATCATCGGTTTATAAGGGTTTCCCAGCCTGTGTGTTCTCACCAACTCTGTGGAGGCCACTTGGACTTGGTTGAACTGCTCAGGTTTCCAATATCAGATGTTTCCTGCCACCTGCAGTTCTAGCAGTAAAAACAAAGGGGGTTAAACTACATGGTACTATTTGTGAGAAATTAATGAGTGTCTCAAAGATGGACCACCAGTTGGAATTCTTCATTTCTCCTGTTTTATGTCCTCCAAGGCTCTGTTACTGCCCTTTGCCTTCTCTTGCCCTCCTCTCTTCCATCCTTTTAGGTCATGCAGATTAAAACCTTCATGCTTTATTAGTGCAACATAAAATGATAGCAGTGTGTGCATAATTTATTTAAAAGAAGCTAAAATTCCTAAATGCTGTCCTTTTCCCCCAGCTTACATCTCTCGAACGCGGAGATGCAAACGTTGACCTCAGCTGTGTTCTTAAAACAAGGCAGTTGGAAATGTGCTCGTGGAGCATATGCAGGATGTGTAAAAAGGGCTTAGGGAAGTCTGTTGATCTTAATTCCTGCTAAACTCTGCGAGTTAATATTTGAAGACGTGTGGGCACACGTTCCAGTGTGTCAGCAGAGACCCAGAGAGCACGCCTGGTGTTTGATCGTGCTGATAATTTTCACCAGACTCGATTCTGCCTGGGCAGAAGAGCAGCAGGACTTTTTGACTAGGATGATCCTCTGTGACCTCTCTGCTGGGACACTGCTGCAGTCCTGCATTCCTGACAAAAAAAAAGGATTGTCCCGAAAGTCCTGGTGGAGTCCAACGCTTGCTCGTGGTCTGGTGGTGTCTGAGACGTGGGAGGAGGAAATGGTGGTGGGGAAGTGCCAGGGAGATCACCCTGTCCCATTTAAAATCACCTCCTTTAATAAATCCTGGGGGATATTTGTTGTCCCTGTATCCCTGGAAGTGTCCAAGGCCAGGTTGGATGAGGCTTGGAGCAGCCTGGGCCAGTGGAAGGTGTCCCTGCCCGTGGCAGGGGGTGGGACTGGGTGGGCTTTTGTTCTCTTCCACCACAAACCCTTCTGGGATTCTGTTCCTGCCCATTTTTTAATGCACCAGGCTCCTTTTTTTTTTAGGAAAAAGGCCAGTGAATAGTATTAGAATCATGGAATCATTCAGGTTGGAAAACATCCCTAAGACCATCGAGTTCAGCCACTCCTCCAGCACTGCCAAGGCCACCACTGTCCCCAAGTGCCACATCCACACTTTTAATCCCTCCAGGGGACTCCACCACTGCCCTGGGCAGTTCCAATGCCTGACTACCCTTTCCATGAAGAAATATTCCTTAATATCCAATCTAAACCTCCCCTGGCCCAGTTTGAGGCCATTTCCTCGTGTCACCTGTTACTGGATATCGGGTAGTTCTGTGGTGGATTAGATTTTTCACTGCATTTTCCAGCATCTGTAACACTAATTTCCTGCATTTATAATTTCGTGTCTTTTTTTTTTTTATTCTTTTTTTAAAGTAACTAAAAGAAATTGGATTAATTACTGATACATGTTTAAGCTCTAACTAGAGATTGTATCTGATGGGAGTTTCTTCAGAAGGCTGTGATGAGGAGGAATTAATGCATGTTCAGAAGGTGCAGGAAAAGGAAATTGCATAAATATGAGCATTAGGTTTTTGAACCCTTCCAAACACCTTTTTTTTTCTGTTCAAGATCTTTAGGCAAGCCTGTCAAGTAGTTAAAAGTGTTTCCCAAATGTTTCTTATTCTGTTTCACACGTGCTTCAAGATGAGAATTCAGAGAGGCTTCTCTCATGATAACAGGGAAGGAGAAGTCCTTTATGATGGAAATATTTGCAAGCAGGAGCAATTGTTTTTCATAACGAGCATCAGTCCTCTCCAGCTCGTCCTCCTTGCGCTGTAATTGTAATTATTTTCACTCTGTTTGCCCACAAGTCCGGGCAGTCACTTCCAAAATAATTCCTGAAAACGCTGTTATAAAGTACTTCAAAATTACCTTCTCTTGGTCGGGAGCCAGGGGAGGGGGATAAATAGCAGGTTCAGAAATGAAAAAGTTAACTGACACTGGCTTACAAGAGACAAAGGAAGAGGAAAATTTGCTGGAGGGAATAGAGGGAGATATTGAAAACCAAATAAGTTACTAATCCGATTTCCTGGCGGTGAGTCTGGGCACTTGTGCTCGGGCTGAGCACACTCTGTGCTTTTCATAAATTGAATTTATTGACTCCTCTTTCTTCCCTATCTTGCTTATAATTATCTCCCCCCCTCTCTTCTGTGTGCTCCTTATTTCTCATCCTGTCTGTAATCTCATGTCTCTATCTGTCCTTTTCTCCCCTTCTTAGAAAAGCCCGGAGAGCTGTTAATTCAGGGGGTGTTTGACACGTTGTTGTATCTTCCCTTGAAATCTTTTTTTCCCAAAGTCATGAGAAGCCAGTGAGATGAATTAAACCCCGTTATTAATGTTTGCATTTTATTGTAATAGTAATGGAGAGGGAAACTCACCTAATGGAGCCATTAAGGGGAAGATATTAGGACTGTATGTGGCATTTATTTGTGCCGCCAGGGCTGAATTATCTCCACCCAGACCAGTCACTGCACTAATATGGACCATCCAGGGGCATTTCAATCACTTCTCCCACTTTTCCAGCCACTGATATGGACAATGTGGCTGTTCAAATACACGTTTTATGGTTTGGTGGTTTGTTTTTTTTTTTTTTTAATTCCCCCACTCTGGGCTACAGGAGGTTCTAATTCTTACATAAAAACAAAACTAGTCTACGGTTTAATGAATCTGTGCAATGATTTCCTATAAAACCATTGAATTTCAGAGGCATACAAGTCTCTGCAGGCAGGTGAGATTTAAAAATACTTCAGAGAGTGATGCCAGCAGCTGCTGGTGCCCGACAGCCTGGCTACAAAACATTATCCTCTGGCCTTGTAACTAGTATTTGAATTTTTGGGGTAGAGGGGTCCTTCGTCATGCATCCTAATCAGAATAAACCCAGGATTTTCGCCTCATCCTCCAGTATTTTTACTGGATACCACTTTTCAATCAAACAGAAAAATACGTGAAATTAGTGTGTGAACCGAAATGCCACAAAAAGGCCTCGATTTTTTTTTTTATGGCCCCTGTTTAACACCGCCCTAATTAAAGGAGGTTTCTTAGGGACCAGGTAAAGGAGCCTCCCTCAGTTCTCTATTTTCCTATAATCCAGTCCAAGTGCAGCCCTTACCCCTTGCAGGAACACTGCTGGATCCCAGTGAGTGGTTTACAGGGTTGTTTTTGGGAATACCACGAGAGTTTGGTGGACACACATGACAACTGGTTTTTAATTCCCTGTGGTTTTGATTTTTCCCAAGCCCTAATTCCCACGACTGTGACAGTGCAGTCCAGACTCACGAGGGAAGGTGCCCTGCGTGGCCACGTAGTGTTGCTCAGACACTTCAATCAGCTGTCTGTGGGTCTCCTGTGAGATTCCAAGGTTTAAATTTGGGCTTGTTCCTGACATAAACCCCAGAGATTATCAAAGGTGTCCCTGCCCGTGGCAGGGGGGGTCGGAACTAAAGGATCTTTAAGTTCCCTTCCAGCCATTCCGTGATCTGTGGTTGTCTAATGAAGCCCAAGGTTCAGGATGCATTTCCTCCAGGCTGTAATTGCTGGGAATGGGATTTACCTTATTGTAAAGGTCAGGTGGTTTAATTTCCTTAATAGCCATAGCACCAGAGCCATGAGAGCGTGAGGAGGGATGAAAAGGGATCATTCCTGCCACTCCTCAGGCCTCCAAAAATCACTGCCCTGTCCAGTCCTCAAACAGCTTCATTCAGCTCCTGTGACCTGTGTGTTTTGTCCACAATGTTCCTTTATTCTATATTTTTATTTAAAAAGAACTGCAAATCCCAGGAAGGAATCGTAGCCAAACTTCGGGAAATAACTTGGAGTTACTGAAATAACGTTTCTCCCTCTCTCTCCCCCTCCCCTGTGACCCCTTCTGTAGCAGAGCATGCTCGGGAGAGGAGGATAAAGGCACTGTCCAAATCAAGCACGAGACCATCAACTAATTTCAGCAGAAGAGCTTCTTTTTTTTTTTTTTTTTCCCCCCCGCCCCAAGAATGATCCGACAGCCCATTTGCAGGGCAGACCAATAAAGAGAAGAACTGGAAGAGCCATTTTCGAAGAGCAGGAGCCATCAGGGCTCAATCAGCGTGACCATTTGAAAAGCCAGGACCTGGATCTTATTACATCCGAAATCGCGCGTCCGAAGACGCCGTTCCCTCTCAGCGAAGCCCACTTATTGGTGATTGATGGGAGGGAGAAGAAAAGAACCCTTTTTCACTGACCTTAGAAAGGGGAGAGAGATATCCTTCAAATGCTGCTATTTCGTTGTGGAATCTCCTCGAACACGTCTCGCTGTCGAAGGCTGGGGGGGTTTGTAACTCTTGGAGCGCCGGGACGTGGCGGTGCTTCCTGGCAGGGCTCTCCTTGCAGCGTGCGGTTGTAAATTGTGCTTTAAATTATTTCACAAATTATGTAAACTTAATGAAGCCTCCCCCCCCCCAGGCCTTCTGCTGGAATGGTGTTAATGATCCAGCGCTTCAGATGTGACATGGCCTTTCTTCACGGGCGGCGGCCCTGCCGTGCCCCTCGACTCGTC